TCATGAATGTGGGGTTTTGTTCTTTTAAAGTAGTATTTAGTGTGTAAAATTATCAATAATTTGTATGCCTTTTGTTTTCCCCTTAATCTGATAGCTACCTGTGACAGAGCCTTTTTCTGTTTTACCCATCATTCATCTCCCAAATCAGTGTCTGAAGCAAAGTAAGCATTCAATAAACATTTGCTAGTGAAAGTGTCTGAGTCCTAACCCAAACTCATCTCACTGGTTTCTAATGAATGTGTTAGTATGTCTGTGGCTTGAATAATACACAACGTCTAACAGAGAAAGCGATACTTTTATTTGTAAAGCCATCATGGGATAGAAGGGATGCTTGCTAATTATTTCTGGATTCATGTGAAGACTTACTCTTCCCACTGCTGTGATGAAATCCCTTACATTAAGAAAAAGTAAGGAAGGAAGGTTTATTTTAGATTAGGGTCTGAGATACACTCCATCATGGACAGCATAGCACAAGGGCAGGGGACCTAGATGGCTGGTCACATTGTATTTGCTGATGGGAAGCTGAGAACATGAATGCTGGTACCCAACTGGCTTTCTCCTTTATAAACAGTCCAGCCCTGTGCTGGTAGAATAGTGCTTCTCCATTTAGACTGAGTCCTTCTAACTCAATTAAACTTCTCTGGAAATGCCCTCATAGACACCCCCAGAAGTTTGCCTCATCCTTGATTCTAAGGCCCTTTAACTTGGCACTCAAGATTAACCGTCCCACATTCATAAGTCTGCATGATATACCCCAAACTTTCAGAGGTACTTTTAATCATATCACATTGCCACTTCTATTGATTATCTTAAGCCACTACATCTTTTGAATGAAATTACTGCTCACCTGGAGGGAGATATATATCTAAGAATATGTATATATACATATATATATACATACATAGCTAAGAAAATATATATATACATATATCTAAGGACATATAGAAACATGTATATATATCTAAGGATATACAGATATATATGTATATATACATCTAAGAATGTATATATTCTTAGTTTAGAGCTGACAAACTTGTCTTAATAAATGTCCACATTATTTTCTGCTTGTGATCGTGATGTCCAGTCCTTAGTTACTCCTGTTTCTATCATCAGCATAATCAGTGAACCTGACACTAGAGGTCAAATGCCCTGTATCACCTGCTGTGACCCACAGTCCCATCTTGTGGCTAGTACTTACATCTTACTCAGTCAAAGAGTTATTGAGAATATTTCTAATGAACTATTTTGATATTTTAAGTTATTAATTAAAACTGTAAACAGGGACAGGGTACTTTGTTTCCTTTACAAACTCTCATTTTGGTTCCCATCTCTCAATGTGTGCATCTATAAATGAGTTTAGATCCATCTCATTTGTAAGTCTTCATCTTTCAAGTGTTAGGCTGTTACTTAGAAATATTTCGATTACTTTGTGTACTAATTTCAACAAAATAAAAGAGCTTAAACTGGGTGGTGGTAGAACGCTTTTAATCGCAGCACTCAGGAGGCAGAGGCAGGTGGATCTCTGTGAGTTTGAGGCCAGCCTGATGTATAGAGTGAGTTCCAAGACAGCCAGGGCTATACAGAGAAACTCCAGGCATGATGGTGCACATGTAATCCCAGCACTCGTAGAGGAAGAGGCAGGCAGATTGCTTTGAGTTCAAGGCAAGCCTGGACTACTAAGCTAGTCCAGGACAGCCAAGGCTACACAGAAAAACTGAAAAGAAAGAGAGGAAGAAAGAGAGAGAGAAAGGAAGGAAGGAAGGAAGGAAGGAAGGAAGGAAGGAAGGAAGGAAGGAAGGAAAGAAAGAAATAAAGTTTATACCATACTAAGAAATGCCTAATGGCTCCAGGTGATCAACCAGTGACTTTTGATCCTGAAGGATCAGAGCATACAATTTATGAGCAGAATACTGCACAAGACCTCTTGTAGATACTCAAAAACAACAACCAAAACAAAAAGACAGGAAAAAAAAAACCAGATTTTTTTGGAGGCAACTGTGAGAATGCATTGACTTTTCACATTGCCACGGTGGAGGAGAATGTGTGAGGAGGGTGTAGGGGCTGAGGAAAATGGTGTAGCAAAACCACTACAAAGCCTGGAGGGTATAATCTTAAAGTCTATTTTTGGCCAACAGAAATTTTCATGTTGTTTAGTAAAGCATCCCATATCAAGGTAGTCAAAATATCCCCCATTGATTATTATAATCAGCAATGTTAAAGATGGCATTCCCATTCCCTCTTTAAGCCTAGTTATTTCTGGACAAATGTGCACCCTAGCTATGGCCAAGAGGATGCCCATAGCTCTGGCACTCAGCTACGGCCGAGTGGAGGAGTTAGGAAGCAGGGGTGAAATTTCAAGGGCCCCACTGGAGTACACCAGATATATCACCGCTGCTTTTTATTTTTATTTTTTACTATCCCATGAGTAATGACTGTGGAATTTGACAATCTACCTTCATCAAATTTCAGTGTCCTTGTAAAATCAAAGAGCGTGTGGCAGTGGACCAAACCATGAGTTCCCAGTAACACTTAACATAAACAGCATGTCCTTGGTCCTGGAATGTTTTCAGCCAAACTCCCTCTGCACCCAGAATAGTCACAGAATATACAGCTATTTAGCAAACATGATGCCTCCTGCATGACTTCTGGCTGTCTCTGGTTTACGAGTTTGGGAAGATGAGGGAAGTTCAGATTTGGTTACCTATGGGCGATTCATCAAGCTTATTCAAGCTCACTTGAGAAGGGTTACCACGTTTCCCAAATGGGCAACAGTTTGGACAGTTTGGATATTACATATCATGTGATGGTAAACTTGATAAAAATGTTAATGTACACAAGGATAATTTTCTACATAGGATTGCTTAGGAAAGAATGTGTCACAACATCCTCCACAATTAGACCTCCACTAAAATGACCGAAAGTAGCCCTTTCATAGCTCTGATGTTGGAAGCTTTTTCTCTTTTTCTTTTATGTATTTATGTATGTTCACGTTAGGGTGTATGTAGATACATATACATGCAGGGTTACACGTGGAGATCAAAGGACAACCTGGAGAGTTGTTACGCAGGTACCATCTACTTTTTACTAAATACAGGTGGCTTGGGGGGGCTGTCTGTTTGTTTGTTTATACAGGGTGTCTTTCTGGCCCGGAACACACCAAGTACCCTATCTAGGCTGGATGGTTATTGAGCCTCAGGAAACCACTGGTCTCTGCCTCCTCAATGCCAGACATCTAAGCCAATATGCCCACATTACTCTGTTGTTGTTGTTGTTATTGTTTTGTTTTATTTTTCAAGACAGGGTTTCTCTGTGTAGCCTTGGCTCTCCTGGACTCACTTTGTAGACCAGGCTAGCCTCAAACTGGCAGAGATCTGCCTGCCTCTGCCTCCTCAAGTGCTGAGATTACAGGTGTGCACCACCGCGTCCAGCTGCTGAGCTTATTTTTTTAATGGGCTCTAGGGATTAAACTCAAGTCCCTCCTTGAGAGGCAAGCATTTACAGACTGTTCTGTCCCCCTAGCCAAGAAGCTTTCTATTCCTCAGCATTTAATAGTCTTCCTTGGAACCCACTGGATTTAATTATTCCATAAAGTATGGTATTTTATTGTTTTCCTGGATGGGCACTGTTTGATGAATAATGCCCTCTAAATACTTGCTGGTAGATGCACTTACAGATTCCACAAAGAGGAAACTACTTGGTCTATTATTTAATGCAATTGCTTCCTCATTTCTCCACCAGATGGCAGAAGAGGGACCAGGATATAGGCTAAAATACTTTTGGTTCACTGATACATTGTGAAATTATATTAAAAGGAGAAAATAAACACTTAAATAAAGTCCTGTGACTTAATATCCATTATATTATCTACATGAAAATATCTTTTAAAAACCCCCACAGAATTGTGGAAAACTTAGGCACTCTACTGGAAGTTAAAAAGTTTAACCATGGATTAAAGGTCCCGGATATACTCCATTGCCCCTGTGCAATGGGCACAGGGGACAGGAAAGTATTTTATGGGGGTACTCCAGCCAGCCTACTTTTGAACCTGAAAATAGTAATAAGAAAGATGATGGTGCGAAATGTTCTCTCATCTCCATTGCTGCGACAGTCCTGGGCCTGGCACGTTCTCTACCCCTATCCAAAGTTATTTTTGAGGACAAATCCTTTAAGTTCAACTCAAGGGGCAGTTAAAGTGTATAAGGAAATGTTGGGGAGTTGGGGGACCATTGCCCACCGTAATGAAGAGTCTGCATGCTTACAGCTGGTAAATGTATAACACGCTGGTGTTGTTAACTTTTGCCCAAGTTTATTTAGCTACTTCTAAAACAAACAAGAAGAGAATGCTTTATTATGCTCATCTAAATGGATTTAAAGTGGTGGGGTTCAAGAAAATGGTTTGCTTTGTTGATGTTCTCATTGGTCTGTCTTGCTCACATGTGAAAATCAAAGCCTTCCTCCTGGATTTGCAGTAACTAACGTTGGAGAGAAACAGCCATGAAACAGTAGTTTACAGAGAAAGGAAGGAGTGGAGAGAGATTGTTTTGTGAATATGTATATTAGGCAATAACTCACATGATAGAAATGGAAAGTGAATTTTATGACAGTGGTTTTAAGTCGTTTTAATCCGCATCTTGAGGCGTACACCGAGTCATGATATCTTATTTGAACAGCCACTCCATTTTCTGAGGCCCTGGCTTTAACCTTTTCTAGTCACCATGGCAACAAGAACACAAATACAAAGTCCATAGCATTCTCCAGATCTGTGAGGAAGAATTTCCCACTGTATACATAGTACGTATGGTTGACCTAAGCATTGTAGGAAGAATGTGGTGTAATTTTAAACACAGTAAATTGCCTGAGTGAGTCATAAAATGGAAGTAGATGCAGCTAGGAAAATGTTAACAAGGAGGAAGAGAAAATAGTGTTGGATTGCAATTCTAACTAAAAACTCCATTGTGCCTTCCCTCATCTCCTTTCCTGATATAAAGAGAACCATGAAAAACTGTGAAAACAAATCATTCAAGTTTTTATTTTTTTTAAGGCCCAAGCCTAAAATAAATGGTTCATTTCTAGCCCAATCATAAACCAGTAATCTGAAATGCTGATCTTGAAAACACTTCATCATTTCCAGTTACTGGCTGTAACAGGCTCTGCTAAAATCCTTGTATGTTCACTCTGCATTTCCAGAGAAGAAGACAGATATGTCCTGATTCCTGGCCAAGGCTGGCCTCACTCAACATCCCCAGAAAATAAAGCAGGATTTGACTGTGCAATGAAGTGTGGATCCATCTCCATCCCTCGAGTTCAGTCTTGGGCAGTGAATAACCTCTCCAGGGGAACTTTAAAAAAAAAGATATGGGGATAACAAGTCTCGATAAATAATCAGCGTCCTTGGGCAGAAAAGAAGAGCCACAGAAGAAATACAGACAAATTTGAAGAGCTAGACAAAAAGAAAAGGCGGCGCCATGCATGGACCTCTCTAAGATGGTAAACTGATGTGTTTCTCAGTTTGGTTGATCAGAGTGTGGCACTAGTTACCACTGTCACTGAGCCTCTCCCCCTCCCCGCCTTTTTTTTTTTTTTTTTTTTGGTTTGATTTGGGTGTTTGGTTTTGTTTGTCTGTTTGTGTTTTATTTTAGTAGAAGGAGCCATGGCCTGGACAGATAATATGCCCTTGTGCCTTACATGAGCAGGCAGCCATGCCAGCTAAAGGAAGGAACTGAAGCATGATGCTCCTTTCTTTTGAGTCCCTCTCCCCCCTCAGATGCCCGTACTGAGATCCCGCCCTGTAAAAAGCACAGCCTCACCAGTGTTCTTGCAGTTGTGGGTATCATTGCTCGGTCCTTCCGCCTTGTGCTGTCTAAAATAAGTGTGATAGTAAAGAAACAAATGACGACGCCTATGTTCATAATCTAAATCCTAAGGTTTCATGGTTCCAAAAGAAATGTTAGTAACAGACATAAGCATTTCAGGTACTTTTCACCATGGTGTTCTGCTATCATTCTTCAAGGGAGATGTACAGTATAGCTGCTTAAAAGGTATGTTGGCTCCAGAGACCAAAGAAATGAACTCATGCCCTAGCTGTGTACAGGCCAGCTGTGAGACTGAGAACCTCCCAGCTGCTCTGGGCTTCAACCTTCTCATCTGCAAAACTCAAAAGCTGGTCTGAACCATCTCCCATCTAATATATTTTTTTTCTCCTGCAGAGGATTTAGAAAGTCTTTGTTTTCCTGGGGAGGCCAGTTTAACGTCTGATGTTCTCAGACAGCCCTGTAGATAATCTTGAGAAAGGGAAAGGCATTGACAACCATGTTTTTCAGTTGAGCTTGGGAGATTAGAGTAAAAGTCAACACATTTTGCACGACCATGAGCATAGACCTAAAGTGAGAAAGAGAGAAGGCAACTGCTTTGGAGAGAGTTCATCTCTGTCTTTATATTCCCTGTCCAGTTGAACCACTAAGGGTGGCCTGCAACTGAATGCCTGGAGAAGAAGGGTATGTGGTCACTAGAAGGTAGAAGGGACAATGAAGAGAAAAACACTTGAGAGGCCCATAATAAATATGATTTTTTTTTTCTGTTCTGATGATGAGCTACTAAGGCTGGATTACGCCATGAAAATGCTTGTTTTCTGACTCACAGTTTGGTCCATGGTGCCAGCATTGGTTTGGCTCCTGATACTTACCCTGTTGCCTTTTATTACACTCCACCCCCAACCTTGTAATGTCCACAGTGAAAGTTCAACAGGCATTTTGATGAAAGCAAACCACATCCAAATCATAGTAGTACAGAATGGGAAAATAAGCTTCAATTTAGAGTATTCAAGTCTAACTTCCAGGACTTTTCAAAAAAAAAAAAACATTATATGTATGGATGTAGATATACAGATATGTAGATGAATGTAGATACACATGTATGTGAATGTTAGGCATTATATAAGATACGTGTCTGTGTCTCTCTCCATGAGGCATAAACCCACTGAAACACCGATTGAGAGTTGAAATTTGTACAGCTCCTTTCTAGATATTGCCCTAAACATCCCCTCCATTCTTGCCCTTGCTCTCATGTCTTCATCATCACCTCCACAACAAAAAAACAAGGACAGAACTTGAGAATTCTAACTAGTCTGGGGAACTGTTAATGCCCACACAATTTTACATTTGCTTCTGTTTCCATGACAAAATTTTTCTTTTCAGAAGAAAAGAACATTTCTAAAAGATCAAAATTAAATCCCTTTGAAGACTCAAAAGAGGATAGCGTCTCCGGGAAAGTATTAAAACGAAATAACACCATGTCACTTGTGACATTTACAAACTCTACCCGGCGCTTCAAGTTTGTGAAGTTTAAAGTTCAGTTTTCCTTTTGTGTGTCTCTGCTGGCCCTGAGCACAAGAGGCAGCATTGCGTTTAAGCTTTTTCCTGATGCAACAAAATCTGGTTTCCTTGATGGGATCATTGCTGAGTGAAGTGCTTCAGTCTGAAGGAGGAATCGTCATTTTGGCCTAGAGCAAGAAAGCTCCATTCTTATAAACACATGTATAGAAGAAACTGTGAGTGGATGGATAGGCAGGTAAGCTAATATACATTTGGACAATCCCTCTTTCTCTCGGATACTCCTTAGCTATGTAAACAGAAACTTTTTTTTTTATATACTGTCTAATCCTAATTCTTTGTAGATTTCACCATCAGTTTGGAAACTGTTGGGAAATGATGGATGGTAAGTGCTAATCCATGCCCAAAAGGGATATTGCTTCTTGGACTAAACAGACAGTATTGGATCCTTTCAAGAGACCTAGCTGGGGACACACAGACAACCAACACCACTACCATTAACAACCCCTCCCTGACACACACAATCACGTTAACAACAACAGGGTGATCCTCTTTTCAGTACTCACCTTGTATTTTCTATTTGATCTTTCCAACAATGCAAAGGATACTCTTCATCAAAGGTGCTGATAGCTGTTCCTTTATGTGGCAGCCGACAGTCAGTTATCAACAACTGTGAGCAAGTTTATCCTGGTCCAGCAATTCCACTCTTAGGTATGAATGAGGGATCATGTGCATACGAAAGCTTACATGCGAGCAGTCATACTAGCATTTCTAACAATAGTGATGATGGTTTGAAAAATCACCTAGGAAACTGGAATCTCAGCATGTCTGTGAGGGGTTATGGAGCTAAGTTACCATCTGTGCGTATCTACGAGAATTGTATAGACTAGGCTGACTGATGTCAGAAGATCCACTCCAGCTGAGAGACAAGGAAAAACAAGGGTGACACCAACATTTGTTGCTCTCCGCTTCCTGGCCACAAAATGACCAGCCTCCCCAAGGCCATTACTGTCATGCTCCCCCCTCCCCCGACCGTGATGGACTGTACCTGAGACAAAATAAATCCTGCCTCCTTTTCCCCTCCCTCAAGGTGTTTTTTTTGTTGTTGTTGTTGTTTTTTTTTTTTTTTTTTTTTTGTTAGTTGCTTTATTACAGAAACGAGACAAGAAACTAACACAATAGTCAAAAGCATCAATGATCTGATTGACCACCAACTGGTGAATGCATGAATGGTGCCAAGTCCTTATAGAATGCCACACAGTGAAAAGAAACTATGTATGAAACAACACGGATAGAAAAGATAGAAGGCTAAGTGAAAGAAGCCACACACGCAAGACTGTGAGGATTGTATTTACATGAAGTTTCTTAAAGTGTCCAAATTGACTGGTAGTCGTGGCTGAGTGGTTAAGGTGATAGACTAGAGATCCAATGGGGTCTCCCCGTGCAGGTTCGAATCCTGCCAACTATGTAGTGGTCTGCTTCAGGAACTCTATGAGGAAAACAACAAAGCCAAAATACCTGGGCCCGGGTCTCCTACAGAGAATGATACTCCAACCAAGGACCGTGCATGCAGAGGACCTAGAAGCCCCGTTCCAAAGAAGCCCATTGGCTGCTCAGTCTCCAAGTGGGTTCCCTGGTAAAGGATACAGGGGCTGTCTCTGACATGAACTCAGTGGCCAGGCCAGCTCTTTGATCACCTCCCTCTGGGGGTTGCAGCCTTGCCAGGTCATAGAGAAAGATGACATAGCCAGCACTGATGAGACCTGATCAACTAGGGTCAGACAGAAGGGGAGAAGGTCCTCCCCTATTAGGGGACTAGGGAAAGGACATAGGCGGAGAAGGGTAGAGAAGAAGGAGGGTGAGTGGGACAGTGAGGAGAAAAGGGAGGGGGCTGCAGCAGGGATACAAGGAAAATAAATTGAAATAATTAATTAATTAAAAAATGCTCAAATTGGTCAGAGTTAGCAGGGGAGCAGGACTGACCGCTGAGAGTTAAAGTGGGCTTCTCCAGTCCATATAAAAGCGATATGCTGAATTTTTGTTAATGTTTATAGTAGCTTTTTCCGTAATAGCCTCAAACAGAACAGAGCCACGATGTCCTGCAGTGGGTGAGGTGGATCATCGGTGGCATACCCACGTAGCTGGGTATCATCCAACCAGATGCAATGAGGAAAGGTGCTAGTAAGGTCAAAGGAAAAGACACAGAGGACTCCTAAATGCAAACAAAACCAGGAATAAGAAAGAGCTGCATGCTGTATGATGCTGATGACATCATAGCCTAGAAAAGACAAAACTGTCCTGACAGCAAGAGGTTTGCATCTGTGGCATGTGGGAATTGCTGACTATGTAAAGAATTGGATGATTTAGGTTAATGACACAATGTCACCCTAAATTATGGGATACAGAACTATTCCTTCGGTAAAACTCACTGAACCATTTGAACAGCACAAAGAATAAATTTTTCCTTAATGTAAATTTGAAAAAAAAGAACTTATGCAGAAGTAAAGATACAGCAGAGAAATGTAATATATAAGATAAAGACAGGTGAAACAACCTATGGGCATTAGCATCCACAGTGATTTAGGGAACGGACAGAGTGTGAAAGAAAAAACCAAGAGGAAATACTTTTAAAGTACTTTGCTGGGTATACCTCTTTCCCATGAAGGTAACTAGTTCTGAAGTTATTATATAATGTATATTAGACTTCAGCAGTAAGTTAAGTGGATGGCAGATGGCAAAAGGCAGGTCTCTTACTGTTGTCACAAAATTCTAGATAAGGGGCAGAGTCTAAAATAACTGACACGGTAATAAATTAGAACTGGAAACATCAGAGTTATTTTATGCTTCGCTTAATATACATAATATGGCTACATGTGAAAGCATTAATAGGTAATATGTAAGTATAGAGGTGAGTATACTCGTGCGTGTTTTCCTGCTGTATCAGCCAAGGAGAGCCCAGAATCACTGACAGCTTCGCAAAGCTGATGCTCAGATTTTGGATCAAAGAACACAGGCTCCCGGAGAAATGGCTTGTTCTAAGACTGGGGCAGGAATTATTCAAATGATTCTTCAATATCTTTGTGCGGTGTATATGTGTGTGTGTGTGTGTGTGTGTGTGTGTGTGTGTGTGTGTGCGCGCACACGTGTGAGAGTGCCGGTACGCGTGAGCCGGTGTGCCTATGTGGAGGGCAGAGACTGATCTTGGGTGTTTTCCTCGTTATTTTTGAGACAGGGCGGTCTCACTGCATTTGGGGCTTCCTATTTGGGGCTAGGCTCACTAGCCAGAGATATGCTGAGACCTGCCTGCCTCAGTCCCTGCACCTCACTCCAGGATTGCTGCTACAGGTGCACACTGCCCCTCACGGCCTTTCATTTTCACAGCATGTATTCATCATGCGTGTTAGTGTACACGTGCATGCAGGCCACACGTGTGCAAGACAGAGAGCAACTTGCTGAAGCTGGTTCTCTTCCTCCACCACGTAGGATGGGATGCAGGCACTAGACTGAGGTCAGTCACCGGCTTGGTGGCAAATGCCTTTACCTACGAAGCCATCTCCCTGGCCCCACAGACTGCTTCTTCCGTGAGGGTTCTGAGCATCTGAACTCGGATTCTCCTCCTTCCACAGCAAGGACTTCACCTGATGAGCCCTCTCCCCTCACCCGCTGCAATAGCTTCTATTCCAAGACAGTAAGAATTGATCCCCAAAATGAAAAGCAAAATTTCACTACAAAGGGATGTATTAGCTACTTTCCTCATCACTGGGACAAAGTGTTTGCTGTAACAGCTTACAGGAGGAGGGGCTACTTGGTCTCACGGTCCAGAGAGCACACTCCACTGCCATGGGGAAGGCACAGCAGTTGAGTTACCCCTGTCGATGGCTATGGGAAAGGAGGCTGCTTCCCCACATGGCAGATCAGAAAGCTGAGAAAAGAAAACGCTGGTGCTCAGTCAGCTCTCTCCTTTATCTCCTTTGTTCTCTGCAGGGTCCCAGTTTATAGGATGCTGCTGCCCAGTCTTCTGCCTTAGTTAATGCTAAAACCTGTCATAGGCACATCCAAAGATGAGCCTTACTAACATGGCCTAGAGTTTCTTAATCCAACCAGGCTGCCAATCAAAATTAAGCATCGCAGCGAGGTGTTACAAAGGGACACAGGGGCCAGCTGAAAGGGCAGCCAATGCCCACATTTGGAACAATTTCAACAACAAAAATAAAGTAGAATTAGGTGGCAATCTAAAATATACGATAACTGTAAATGAGGCTTTAATGAAGAAAAGGAAGAGAGGGAGGGAGGGAAAGAAAAAAAGGAAGGAAGGAAGGAAGGAAGGAAGGAAGGAAGGAAGGAAGGAAGGAAAGAAGACAGGAAATGCCCATACAGAAGAATTCTAAATAATTGGTGGAATCTCTACCTTCTGGCCACACTGAGCATAACTGCACCCATTCCCCTTACAGGTGGTACTACTGTCTGCACGCAAATGGCTTCCTTCAGAAGAGCACAGAATGGGACTGCAGAACACTTTTACTCTAGAGAAACCCACTTCAGTGAGAGCACTGCCTCAGACAAGTGATCAGTTACCAATAGCACCAAGTCATGTTGACGACCTGAGCCTTAATTACACAATAAAAACGGCTCTTTACCATGGCACCCTTCTCTGAAATCCACATCCCCAGACAATCATGAGGAAAACATCGGATAGACTCCAGTGAAGGTGCGTCCTACAAAACACCTCGGGATGGCCAAGGTTATCCAAGATAAGGACATTTATGGCCTGAACAAAGCAGCCTAAAAGATGTAGTGACAATTCTGGGATTTTAGTTTCTTTTAAAAACACAGAAACATTATAAGAATATTTTTCATTTTAATCCCAGGTACGGGGTATGGGGCTGCCTTGCAGCAGCTGACTATGATTTGCTTCATGCTCTAGCAGAGGCATGGTTTTGCCAGCTGCAGACAGTTCTGTGTTTGTGTGATGTTTGGAATTCTGGGCACTTTTCAGAGGGTACATAAATGTTAGAGCCCCAATAGGTGGGTGTTGGTGGCTGTTGGTCATTCAGGGGGATTGGTTGTGGTTTATCAGTAGTCATGCTCAAAGAAGAAAGAAATTAGATTCAAGGACCGCCCCCTTTCCTTCTCCCCTATATTCTTCTTTTTCTTCTATCTAATGGTAGGGGGTGAAACCTGGGGAGAGAAAGAAAGAGTGGGAAAAAGAAGAAGCCACAAAGTAGCAAAGACCAGCTACAAAGAGAGGAAAGAGCTTATGTTGGCTCCCAGTTGTCTACATACATATAGTCCATTGATGCTGAGAAAGCATGGAGGCTGGTGTTGGTTGGTTGGTGGCCATGAGAGCTTGCAGTGGAAGGCTGCATCCTAGGAGGAAGCAGCCATATGTGAAGCTGGTCTATAAGCCTCAAGCTGTCTGCCAACAGGGTCCACACCCACAGATTCCACAGCATCTCCAAACAGCATCGCCAGCTGGGGACCAAGTGTTCAAACACGAGCTTGTAGGGACATACCATATTCAAATAGTAACAGTGAGACTCTGTCACAGCTATGAGGAGCCTAAGAGGACATAACTGCAGGGGATGACAGTATGCAATCACAGATGTGATTTTGGGAGTAGGACAGGGACTTAAGGTGAAAATTAAACACGTCTAAATAAAATAGAA